CTATTGCGACTCAAGTCTTTGGCATAAGTTGCAAAGAGTGAACCAAACAATGCCCAGTTCGCGTCCGGGAAGATGTGTTTCTTTGTAGTAATCGCGGTACAAGTTACAACATGCCATGTTATCTTATCTTAAGTAATTTAGAGACAAATTTGAGCTGCGTAACAGGATCTATATTCAAAAATCTAGATGGAAATAATCCAGTCATAATAATTTGTACATTTTTAACCATTCGGCGCATCATTTCATCATCACATCAACATGGACATAGGCCTCTCTCTAGAAAGGATCATGGCGCATCATTTACTAACGGCTATTTCATGAATTCTTCTGTAGAACAATTTGTCATTTTATTTCATACAAAATAAAAGAGCTTTAAAGCTGCTGTACCTAAGCAAATTAATTGCTATTTTATTTTATAACCCTGATACATTTTAACACCTAAACGGTAAATAAGACAAGAGTTAACACGCTTTAACCAAACTGTTGATAAACATACTTTTATATTTCTAAAAACATATAATCATATCGTATGTAAAATGCACTCAGACATAGAACAAATGATCATGCTTATCACATCACTATTCATCTTCGGTGGAAATCGGATCTACGATCTCTGGCTTAGCAGTGGGATTTATATTAGGAATATTTTTGGACATCTGACAAACAACGCCATCTAGTTTCAAACAGTCATCATGATATGAGAAGATATCGTTACAATATGATAAGAATTTGACACATAAAAAGGAGTCACATTATCCTTTAAATAATATAATGGTAGGTTATTTATAATGAAAAAAGCCGTGTGATGTCGTGGGACACCCGATAGGAACGAAGTTGTTATGATCGAGTAAAACTGATTAGACACGATTTTAATTACAACGCCATCTATGAAAGCGGCTATTACCTACATATTTTTCAGTTGGTTTCTAATTAAAACAATTTATACATTGGTAAAATCTCCTTGAGAAATGATGTCGAATACAATATTTTTTGCTCAATCTAAGAACATAAATTTTAATTTTACTATTCGATAGATGGCGCTGAATGACTGACAAGTGACAATTCAAAATAAAAAGTGTCGTGACCAATTTTCGTAAGAATTTTTTCTAGCCCCCTTTCACAACGCGCGATAAGGAACTTCGTTCCAATAATATTCTACCACATTCAAACAACGTTAAATTTTTTATTGTTAGCAAAGCTAAGCTACTGCCAACCACTTGATCGCAAGTTCAATGCCCTGGCTACACGACCAATACTTTAGTTTCGTTGCGTTCCATCCCATCTGGTCCATCTGCTCGTTTGCATTCTATGTCATAGAAAAACTTGACTGCAGATGACTTCTGAGCTATGTCGTGTGAATACTAACTATCCCTACCCTACTTACCTATCCCTATCTAAATAGGTGAAGGGACCTAAGCAAATTAATAACTAAGTAGTGTAAGTGTAACTGTGATTAGTGACTACGACACATGAATGTGTTACCACCATTTGAGTTAGGGAAACTTTACTTCCACGGTGAACATCAAAGAAAAAGTTGTTTAATAGAAATAGTGGTTTAAGTTGTCACCACGCCGCTTACTACTACGCTAAGTGTTGTGGGTTCGATCTCCACATGGGACGACACTTTGTGTGATCCACAAATTGTTGTTCTGAGCCTGGGTGATTTATGTGTCAATTTCTTTTTTTCTTTCTTTTTTCTTAAAAAAAAGACAACTCACGCGTTAGAAATATATCCTGTGTCGCGGGGGATCCTTTACAAATATACATAAAACGGACACAAAGAACACCCAGACTCAGAACAACAATTTGTGGATCACACAAAGTGTCGTCACAACACTCAGCGTAGGAGGAAACGGCATAGCGACCGCTTAAACCACTACGCCATCCGTGCAGGCTAGTGTATGTTTGTAAAGTCCCATTAGATATATTCCTAATGCGGAAGTTGTCTCATTAAAGAGTGTGCCGAAGCTTGGCTCTAATACGGTTCTAGGTTGACTGATTTGTGTAGAATTGTTTTTAATGTTGCCAGTTATTTGTAGTTGTTTAAATATAGTCACCACTTTGTACTATCACACCATTTATCAGCTGCAAGTGAACGGGTATAGGTACTTACAATTTTAGTAAACCAGGGATGCTGTGAGGTGCGATCTGGATCCTTTTTGACGAAATGTCAAATTGTAGAGTGACATCGCTTCCAATCCTAATGAGCTATAGGTTATAGTGACTGTTCATGGGAGTTGCATTCTGAATGCAACTTTGGTTTTATAAAAGAAAACAAATTGTGTTTTTGTTTTATATTTTATTGAACTCTAAATCGAGAGTTTAATGATCTGATCAGACTCGTTGTTATCAAGTATTTTTTAATAAATATACTGCACTATCATGCCACACCTACACTGCACATTTTTAACTTACTCTTACATACATACTATAAAATTTATTATAGTCCATCTAATCTTAGAGGTACCGTTTGACAGTTCTGACAGATTGAAGAATAAGGAGGGGGTCAAAGAAATCGATTGCTACAACATCCGATTCTTAAGAGACATCAATATCATTTCTTTGTATTTATAAATCGATTACAGTTTTATAGATTTATGTATATTACTGTATGAGCCCATACATAGTTATATCTTAGGTTTGACAAGTAAATCTATATAAGTTATTTAGACAAATTGTGATTGGTAAAAGCAAACAAATGAACATCTACAAAAACAATTGAACACATTTAAGTTAAGGCAAATAAATAAAACAAGATCTAGTTTCATGAAGATATGAGTGTCAACAATATTAACTGACAAATTAGGTCAAAAATACACCTTGCACCTAATTTTAATACTCATCACATTTAAATAATAAAAAACAGGTGGAAGCAATTTAGTAGCAATAAACATAATCAACATTTAACTTATTTTTAATTTTTGCAATCGGCGTCATTTATAGACGCCCAAGACGCCCAAGTTTTTTGTTATCTGTATGTTCGCTTATTAAGGCTTATTATGAAAAAAAAAATTAAGAATTCACGCAATCAATAAAATATGTATTTTATGCTCAGTACGTTTATTTGCGAGAGTACATGCGCACCATTCGGTTTGCAGCTAACTTCATTGTCGCAGACTTGTATGGCGTGTATTGTATTTACAACATACCATTTTCAATCCAGACATCTGTTAGTATTTACTAACAGATGTCTGGATTGAAAATGGCATGTTATTAATAAGTTTGAATATTCTTACATTTGAATGATTTCAACGATTATTCATACATAAGAATAAAACGAAATATACTAGATTTTTTACACCTAATGTTAAGCAGGTAAAAACCAATGTTCTGATAAATGGAAAGGAGTATAACTCTAGACTCGAAATTGCAGTGGGGCCCACACATTGATGGATTGTCGAATATATTCAGCTATGCAGCTTACGAGGTTTATAAAATTCGTCAATTATTCGATATAGAAACAGTTAGACTAGTGTATTTTAGCTATTATCATAGTGTTATGTCATATGGTATTTTTTTCTGGGGATATGCTGCTGACATTCAAAATATCTTTGTGTTGCAAAAGAGAGCTATTCGCGCAATTTATAATCTCAGTTATAGGCAGTCACTGAGGGATGAGTTAAAAGAAATTGATATCATGACAGTCGCATCCCAATACATATATGAAAATTTAGTGAAAAAAAATAATTCATTTATTCACAAAGTTTAGCAACATTCATAAAATAAATACTAAAAATAAAGATAAACTCGTGTTACCAACCACTAGACTACAAAAAGTAAGCAAGTTTTTGATGTCAGGGTGTGCGATTCTAGAATAAAATGCCAAGCAAATTCCATGAATTAAGTATCAACAAACTTAAATCTTTAGTAACACTAAAACTAAGTAAAAAGGCTTACTACACGAATACAGATTATTCAGATAATAAATTTGCTTAGGATTGATGCTGCTCACTCCTACATTTACGTTCCTATCATTGTTGTTATGTTTGAGAGTGATGCTCATGTTTTTTTGGCGTATTTCGTATTTTGTTGGTTTTCAATTCGTTTATTTTTTTGTTGAATTGAAGAATTGTTTACAATGTATTTTTTTTTGTTTGAGTATGTAAATGTAAGTATAGTGTAGGCTTGTAATGTTAATTTATATTTTAGTAACTTTTTGGTGGTTTTGAGTGTTTCCACGGCCTACCCGAATGTCTTGCTGGCAGTAGTGTAATGCTTCGGGTCGTTGATCTTGACCAATATCGGTTAAGCTACACGAAGGGGCCTGTATGCTGTCTGTATGGACAGACCGACTCAAAACTATGGTCCTTTTTTTTTAAAGGCCTACCCAGACTGTATACTGTACTCGCAGTTTTATTTAACTTTGTTTACAGTCTAAAAAAAGACACCTCTGTGGTTTGTTTCGGGGTTTCTTCCCAGAGTGCGTCTTAGGAAATGCCGGCTCCATCTAGCTGTAAAGTCCAACTTGTAAAAATATCTGAAAAGATTTACTTACAGAAATTAATTCAATTTATCATTTACAAGTGAATTCGAAGAGTCACAACACTGCGGTAAAGAACCTAACAGAGTGACATTGAAACGAAGTCTAAAAAAACTATCTATTGTAGATATTGTTTTCTTTGCTTTGTTTAAAAATTTTGATTTTAAATTTAGTCAATAAGAATCGTAAATCTTGTGATAAAATAGAAAAAGCTTCATAATTCCATGGTTTTACGGAAAAGTTTATTTAAATTGTGTGAGTTTTGCCAATACAAACATGTTTCGGCTTGAAAAGTATGAAACATCAAACGGTACCTCTTAGATTAGATGGACTATAGAATAACTTTTCACGTGTATGTATCATAATTACTACTATATGGCTTCATTAAGCTATTATAATAATACTATCTTAGATTACTTTATTCAGTCATGTAGTTTTGTACATATCTATTCAATAAAATGTAATTTGCAAGTAAATTTTAATAATTAGGGCATTTCATATATGTTACCCAGTTCTATTTCTATTGATTATCCGCAAGTAACATTTCAGACACTCTTTCTCCAATAGCAACAGCTACAGCCTCAGTGTTGGCGCGTGGTAGTGAAGGCAGCACACTCAGATCAGCGACTCGAAGACGCTTCACGCCAAGAACTCGTAGCCGCTCGTCTAGTACGGTGTTCAGGGATACTGTACCCACCGCATGGTATACTGGATATGTCAGGTGTCGTACGTAACACCGCCAGTAATTTTGGGAGTTTAACTTATGATGGGGACATCCAGGCAGATCGAATTGAACAATTGATACTTTACCTCGCTTGAACACGGGTGTCTCTGTCAATTGTTCCACAAGCCGGATTGATCGCACCATTTCATCTACGTCTCTTTCATCGCTCAAATAGTTCGCGTATATAGCTGGAGGCGATAATGGATTCCTATTTTTGAGCCGCACCGTGCCTGATGAATAAGGTCGTAGTAGGACTGGACTCATCGCAATAAATGCGAACTCTTTGTTCAGTTCGCTTAGCTGATCGATTACACCTGAACTTAAGCCAACCATATTTTGGACCAGTGGTTTTGCAATTGGTAGTACATTTCTATCTAAAAATGCGTTAATAATTTCTAAGTTCGGCACTTCACAGTCACTACCATCAAAGCTAACGTTGAGAAGTCTTCTCTGTTGGAAATCATAGCAATGTGTGTTTACAAACGCAATAACATCAGTAAGACCGTTTGATGTGAAAGCACCTTGTCTTTCCTTCAAATATTCCGATAGTTGTGTGACTGTCTTTATTAGTGTCTTTAAGTTTGCAAGAATCTGCCCGCGTTTGCCAATTTTAAGAAAAAGCAAGGGTAAGGCATGATCAGTTAGATTATCCCCAACGGGCAAATCTACTTTCACTGGTATGTTCATAGTTTTTAAATGATCTGCTGGCCCGATGCCTGATAACATCAGTATTTGAGGAGTTCCAAGTGTACCTGCACTTAGTATGACCTCTTTTTCAGCATACAATTTTATTTTATTTGAGAATTGAACAGCGGTAATGCCGGTAGCAATGTTTTTTCTGTTTATAAGAACTCCTGTGCACATGGTATTCTTAGCAACCTTAAGCGTGTTTTTAACATCTTCTCTGGCTAAGTATCCTCGCGCTGTACTCATCCGTTCTCCGCCATAGGTATAGCCCGTAGCTATGGTCACACCTATTTGTGACGCAGCGTTCACATCTGGATTAAAAGGGAAGTTCAAAGCCCGGAAAGAATTTATTAATCTGGAATGCCAACGATTTTTCGGGTCACCAAAAAAGCCGATACGCATTAATCCACTTGTGTTATGATAAGATTTAGAAGAAGGTGGGAGTTTGTCTAGGTCTTGCAAACCTTCGTAACGAAGAAAGTAGGGCATGAGATCTTCGAAAGTCCAGCCTGGTCTTGTGATATCTTTGAAGTCACTCTTTCTGTTACCACGTGTATATAACATGTAGTTGATGGAAGTGGATCCTCCGAGGCACTTGCCGCGACTAAAACGGCATTGCTGGCCGATAGACGAAAGACACGACACGTTGTTTGATATGGTCTTATATTGCCAGTCTATTATTGAACCCTGCAGCGCAACTGACATGGCTGGAATCTATAAAATATGTATTTGTGATCATGTGTATTACCACCGTAAAAATGCACTTAGCAAAACAAGCAATAAAGTAGTTTTATGCTAAAATATAACCACTGATATAAAGGACGTCATTCAAAATGTAACCAAAAATTAAAGTGCCGGCTAGTAAAAAAAAACTATGTCATCTTACGGCAAATGATCTTTTAAACATTTTTTATTACTAAAACAAACGTCTACGACCAACTTTAGACCCAAAATAGATCTCCGAAAATCATAAAATGAGCATTTACATTTATGTTTCAATTAACTACGAACATAATAATAATATAATATGACAAAAAGCCTAATTATATTATACTATGTGTGTGTGTTTTTTTTTATAACACTAATACCTACACATAAATACCTACGTAGGTACTTAGGTACCTAATGATGATTGTATATATTTAGGCTTTTTGTCATATTATATTATTATTAAGCGAGATTAAGTTATTCTTTATCTTCATTATCTGATTTTTGCTATAGTAATGAAGTAAAAATTGTTCAGACGAACTCGTAAAATGCATTTTTTTATTATTTCTAAGTCATATAACTCATAAGTTATCGGTCTCTTAGCCGTCTAAAGAAAAAAAATCTTAGAATGTCATTCTCTAACCGATAAAACCATTTTTTTTCGTTGGCCGGCACTTTTTTTTTTGGGTACTTTTTGTATGGAGCGTGAATGATGTCCTTTGAAAGTTTTTGAAGATTCTTATTCCTGAATACCGAATTGACTAAACAGATCTGAATAAAATTTAATACAACGATAGATTTTAGCCTGTTATGGCACATAGGTTGATAAGATCGACATTGAGGCTGACAAAAGCTAAGATCACTTAAGAACGGCCCAATTGATTTGGCTACTTGTCACTTTAAAATATTGGTGGGTTTTAGGAAAAGAAAAATTAGTAAAGTGCCCCGTAAATGGAAACATTAAAAAGTGTTTTTTTTTTATATAATTAAATTGATATAAATAATTATAAATTTGACAAGACAACATATATCGTGTGCGCTAATTAATAACAAATCTGTAACTCGACATCTAATTCGAACGTAACGTCACGAATTAACCTATTTGAGTAAATAAATGTTCTGAAATTACCTTGGCTAAGTGGAGTGGGTCTCCCCCAGCTTCAATGAGCAGTACATCCTGACCAGCTAGAGCAAGTCGAGCAGCTGCAGCAGTGCCCCCCGCCCCAGCTCCCACTACGATGTAGTCGAACTTCTGGCCATCTGAACAATCGAAGTAGAAGAAAATACAGATATCACATGAAATGTTAAAATAGAACACAGTATTTTTGACTTGACACCAGATTGGTAAGTGACTACCGCCGCCCATCAACACCTGCAAGTCAAGAGTCACAGGAGCATTTCCATCCTTCGAGTAAAAAAATATTCGGAAATGATTCCGCGCTCGCGGAACACGTGTCAGTTTAAAAAAACGCACACCCGGAACACGTGTCGATTTAACAGCAATTCCTTGTTGTGTGTATGCGTAAATTACAGCTCATATGTTATATATTCTGTTCTTCTGTTATGATGATACTAATATCATACATATTGTTCTAGTGTGGGCACGGTTCGATAGTATAAATCCGGCTCGAAGGACCAATTTGTTAACCTTGCGATGAGGTCAACAAATAAAAGATAGTAATCTATATATATAAAAGAAAGTCGTATTAGTTACACTATTTATAACTCAAGAACGGCTTTACCGATCTGGCTGAAAATTGGTGGGGAAATTGCTTAGAGCCAGGAGACGGACATAGGATACTATTTATTCCGTTCGACACTGTTTTGTTTTTTTTTGTTTTTTACGAACTTTGCTTTAGTCGGAGATGCCACGTTATTATACTTGGAATGCTTCGAATTTTCAAAGACGGAAGCAAGGCGATGCGGTTCCTGGGTATCCGGATGTGCGTTCTACTGATGCTCTTGGTCGTATGTACACAGTTCATCCAAAGAATGATGAATGTTTCTATTTGCGGTTGTTGCTGGTAAATGTGCGTGGGCCAACGTCATTTGAGACACTAGGGACTGTTAATGGTGTAATATTCCCAACATATCGTGCTGCATGTGAAGAACTGAACTTATTAGAAAACGATACCCATTGGGATACGACAATCGCTGAAGCCATTATCTCTGCATCTCCAAGTCAGATACGCACATTATTCGCTATCATAATTTGGACATGCTTTCCATCAAACCCATGTAACCTGTGGCACAAATATAAGGATAATATGTCAGAAGATATTTGACATCAAATTCGTATCACTTCCAGAAATCACGATGTTGAGATGAATGAGGAGATACATAATCGTGCTTTACTCTTGATCGAAGATATGTGTTACCTCATGTGTGGTAGTTTATTAATCAGGTTAAGAATGCCAGCGCCCAATCGTGAAATGAATGACGCATTTAATCGAGAATTGGAACGGGAACGTGAATATGATCACCAGGAATTAGATTTAGTAGTTCAAACGAATGTACCCCTGTTGAATTCCCAACAAAAGGAAGTTTATGATACTTTAATGAAGGCAATCGATGATGGAAATGGTGGTTTATATTTCCTAGATGCCCCTGGTGGAACAGGTAAGCCATTCCTCATGTCAGTAGTTTAAGCCACTGTTCGGGCGAGATCCAACATAGCGGTTGCAGTTGCTTCTTCTGGAATAGCAGCCACATTGTTAGAAGGATGCCGTACGGCTCATTCAGCATTAAAATTACCGTTAAATCTTCAAACTATTGAAGAACCAACGTGTAATATTACGAAAAATTTAGCAATGGCCAAAGTTTTATCGGCATCGAAAATCATCATCTGGGACGAATGCACAATGGCGCATAAACGTGCATTAGAAGCACTTAACCGAACATTGAAAGATTTACGGAATGACTCGAGATGTTTTGGAGGAGCAATGATTTTACTGTCAGGCAATTTCCGCCAAACACTGCCAGTAATTCCAAGATCTACGGCTGCCGACGAAATAAACGCTTGCCTCAAATCGTCGAATCTATGGCGCTATGTGAAGAAACTGCAGCTGACAACAAACATGAGTGTTGCATTGCTTAATGATACATCTGCTGAAGATTTTTCTGAGCAATTGCTGACTATCGGTAATGGTCAAGTACCTGTCGATGAATCGAGCGGATTGATATCATTTCCAAATAATTTCTTTAATTTTGTCTCATGAAAAGACGAACTTATCAACAATGTATTTAAAGACATTATTTCTAACTACAAAAATAATGAATGGTTGAGTGAGCGAGCAATTTTAGCGGCTAAGAATAAAGATGTAGACGACCTGAACTATATAATTCAAAATAAGATCATTGAAACAATGCATTCATTCAAATCTATTGACTGCGAAGATGAAGCCACCAACTATCCAATTGAATTTTTAAACTCCTTGGATGTGTCTGGCTTACCACCGCAAAATTTACGCCTAAAGGTTGGCTCCGTAGTAATCATGCTTCGAAACATAAACCAACCAAAACTGTGCAACGGTACGCGTTTGGTGGTTAAAAAATTGATGAAAAATGTAATCTACGCGACGATATTGAAAGGAAAATTCAAAGGTGAGGAAGTTCTCATTTCGAGGATCCCGATGATCCCAACCGATTTGCCGTTTGAATTTAAAAGACTTCAATTTCCGATCCGTCTTGCATTTTCCATGACCATCAACAAATCACAAGGCCAATCCTTAAAAGTTTGTGGTTTGAATCTAGAACATCCATGTTTTTCCCATGGTCAATTATATGTGGCATGTTCACGGGTCGGAAGACCATCTGCTTTGTTTGTTTTTGCGCCTGATAAGAAAACAAAAAATGTCGTGTATCACAAGGTACTTAAGTGAAGAGCAACCTATGTACTAAAATGCAGAAACAATAATAAATGATTGATGTACTTCTTTTTTTTTTCTAAGAAATAAATTAACTTACTAAATTCGAAAATCGGCTTATTTATTGCCTTTAAGGCGGAACAGAGTTCGCCGGGTCAGCTAGTATAGAATAAAATAATAATAGTAAGAGTCACAATGACCGCGGAGCACGTTTGGTGGAGCCCGTGTCTTTACCCAATTCGTTTAGATCGCGAACTGATGAGTGCACATGTCACTTTTTAATTTTCTCTTAGGATCACTATATACTTGGTCACTGGCTTCTGTGTTTGTTTTTTTTTGTTTAAAAAAAAAGACAACTCCCGCATTAGGAATATATCCTGTGTCGCGGGGGACTTTACAACCATACATGAAACGGACACAAAGAACACCCAGACTCAATTTGTGGATCACACAAAGTGTCGTCCCATGTGGGGTTTGAACCCACAACACTTGACGCAGTAGGAAGCGGCGTGGCTACCACTTAAACCACTACGCCATCCGTGCAGTCAATATTCTTTAAATATTTAATTAGGTATTTGTTATGTTTTAGATGGAGTAGTCACTTTGGCAGGCCTCTTGGTTACTGACTCTAACTTCTGAGCAGGAGGTCGGTATTTAGTACGTTAATCAGTCAATCAATGTCTAGTTTGGGCTTCGACTGCCGTGTGTGTGATGTGTAAAGAGAAGTGAGGTATTTTTTATCTCTAGTCTTTAAAAGAACATAAATAATATAACTATACGAGTAAATACTGTTTGCGTACACAGTTATTGCAATCTGATTGGTTACTTGTTGCGAAAGTTTCCTGGCAAGCTGATAGGTGATGGTATTACAAACAGAGTAAATGACGATAGAAAATATGTATTGAGAAGCATGGAATTAATTTCTTTCGTTGAGAAATAATCGAAAATAACCAGTACAGCTAAAATAATGAAACAAACACTAATGCTATGATATGTAACCCAAAAGTTTAGTGTAAAAGGTAACTTGCCATGCCTACTGCCATCTGTAACCCTTCTAAACATAATCATCATCATCAACAGCCTTTAATAGTCCACTGCTGGGCATAGGCCTCTCCTTAGAAAGGAGGTTTTGGCCTACTGTACCACGCTTGCCAGACGGGTTGGTATAGGGTTTGTGTCAAGTTTTCCTTCTCTCTGCAGTGCTGTTGTCCTGCGTAGTTTTTTTCTCTTAGTCGGCTCTTACGATACCTACGGGATGAATTTCCAAACAGTTTTCATGAATTGTTGCGTTTCATATATTTCATATGACTTACCTCTTAACTCATAGTTTGGGGGGAATTCGTCATCGGTTACTGTAGTGAGTGTTGTCACAGTTGACAGCACTGCCAGCAACAGGATGCTGGAGCAACACATTATTTTTAGATATAATAAGCAATAAGGGACTCCTGAAAGTGACGCAGCTTTTTTTTTGCGCACCATTTGAAATCCAGTTCCATTGTCAAATAACAAAAACACTGCGGTAGCTGAATTGATTAAAAAAAATTATGGTTAGGTTAAGACTTTATAATATTAAAATTTATTTCAGTCACAACAGTGTCATCGCGTAATTGTGGTACTATTACTTTTTGAAAGTTTTTTTCTCTTCCCATATTTCGTTTATATACAGGGGGCAAACGAGGAGACGAAAAGTGACTACCAGTCATAAAAGCCTGTCTCAAGACTCAGGAGTCACAAATAATAATACGTAATTATCTTTTTTTTATAGTTCAACCCCAACTTTTTATAAAGTCTTTTCTCTTGAAATTAAATCATCATATAATAAAACATAATAATGAGAAGAACAATCTTCACATTTATATTTTTTAATTATGTTATAAACTACATAATTAGAAAAGAGATATTTTATACCAAAAATAATAATTATTTCTTTTAGTAAAACAAATGCCTTCATGTTTTAATTCGACGTACTTTTATTTAATTTTAGGAGTGTGCATTGTTAGCACCTACTTAAAAAAAAATTGTGTTATTTATTCTGACATTCAAGAATGAGAGTCATTTTGATTTAGTTTCGTCAGATAGCTGGATATACTCGTTGTTTCCTGTTGTACCTTCACTAACGTAATCAATAACAACATAAACATGTTAATATATCATTATTGCAGCTCGTGCTCCCGACTTCGTCTGCATAGAACCCCTCCCACACCATATCATGCTATTGCACCACCCTTTCACCACCCTTAAGTTCCATTACCCTGACGAAAAATGTCCTCCTCTAAGTATTTTTGAACCAGAGGAAGAATTGCTTTGAAGGTAAAAAACAGTACCCTGCCAACAAATCGCACTTACCTACAGGTGAATCCACAACACATTGTACAAGGATGAATACAAGGCAACAACAAACCACGTCACAATACTTTAAAAAAATATATAATTAAATATACTTCAAATTATTTGTTTAATAATTTAACTGGTACGTATCGTGCAAACATTAAATATGCTTTCTGAATTTTAATAATGGCTGCAAAAAAAGTTTATTTATATACTGTAAAACATACTCTTTCCCCAAAGGCCGGCAACGCGCTTGTGGCTCCTGAGTTGTAGGCGTTCATAGGCGGCGGTAGTCGCTTTCCCTTAGATGACCAGTCTTCTCTTTTGCAACTCCTTCCATAGAAGAAAACATAATTTCTAATCTTAACTTTGTTTATCTAACGACTATGTATTTATTGAAGCTCGGAAACCAAACATAATAGTCTTGGGATTTATTTTTAACCTATTTATCATAAGTTTTAAATAATTTTCATTTTGTTTATGGTGACTTAAGTCAAGTGAGCAGACAGGTCAAGTGACTGCCGCTGCCCTGCAAACTCGAAAGCCTTGGGGAAAGGTTTTAGCTCCGATAGCCTTACTTTAGCATTTTAAATTGCTTTAGAGCGGTTTTTTGTGCGGCCGTGCTAACACTCCGGTCCGGACCATTAGTGCATGTGAATCATGGCTTCCCACGAATAAGATTATTTGGACAATTACATTTTAAATCTTGGAATTTCAGATAAGTATAAAAAAAACTCCTGTATTATTTTGTTAACGTGCTTAAGCTCTATTTTAAAATTTTAAATTGTGATCCATTCAAATTTTTTTCGTTATTACTTTTTTTAACTTTTTATGTGTTATTATTCATTCTCATAATTTGTTAAAAAAACTTGTTACATAAAAATATTTTGATCTTTTATATTTCAAAAACTACTGATGTTAGGATAAACAAACATTTAATTTTGATATAATATTCTCTGCTAAACTGTCACATAACACTGTCACTCACATCTTTGGCCCAAAGCCTTTTGACAGTACCTTTTTATACTTTAAATATCAACACTTACAGTGAGTGTTACAATCATTGTCATTCACATTCAAGGTTCAATAGATGCTATATACTGACACCACAGGTTTAGTTACAATTGCAACTCATCAGGAGATAATACATTCATTCATAGTTCATTATTGCACATTAGGTTACAGACGCATTTGATTGTAACCATTTTGTTTAATCCACCCATTGACCTTGTTACGAATTAATCATTTTTTAGACAATAGTTGCGAAAATATAAAACTTACTTTGTAATATTATTATTAAACAAGTGATATAAGTCCTTCTAACCTTCAAGAAAAGAGCGTACGCACGCTTGTTTGTGGCTCTAGATGGTCACTTTCCATCAGGTGACCCGTCTGCTCGTCTGCCCCCTCTAACATAAAAAAAACGATAATCGCATAGAGCGAAAAGTGTAACAAAGTAGTATCTTTTTGAACTTTATTTCTCTATGATATATAATTATTGGAATTTGAGTTGAGTTTTCCGTGTGGTGACGGATTTAGAATTAGGAGTGTCAAAACCCCTATTCATTCCGTGCATGTTTTCTGAAAGCAACAGCAATGCAAAGAGAAGGAAAACTTAGCACTAACCGTATACCAACTGGTCTACGTCTGGCCAACGTGTTACAGTAGACCAACATTTCATTTCTAATGAGAGGCCCATTTTCAGCAGCGGTCTAATACAGGTTATTGATGATGATGGAACTAGGTTTGTTTTTCTTTTTTTAAAACACAACTCTTACACTAGCAATTTATATCTTATGCCGTGGAGATCAACATCCATCGAACAGGCACAAACAACACCCAGACTTAAAACAACAATTTGTGGATCACACCCGGTCCCGATACTTCAGAACTGAATTACTTCTGCTAATGGGACAAAATAGACCTCTATGTCTGAGATTCGTTTTTTCGTTATATAAAATTTATTTTGATTTAAAAACTGATGCCATTAAAAACGTGTTTTAGCTAATACCTCCAAGTAATAAACTAAAACGATATTTTTTATTGACGCATTAATTACGCATTTTTGTACTGTGTATAAACCCATGTTTGATTTTTTAATACAACTAAGATTACGAATCTGGTGCACATATTATTTTATAACGGAACCTTGCAATAATAAAACATATATTCATTTAAGCCTAGATATCTAAGACACTGAAGTAACGCCTCTTTGAATAAATAAAAACTGCAGGGCCCTTAATGTCCCAGTTCCGGGTTTCACCGTAATTTGTTGTAAAACATTTGAGCGCTCCAATAGTCGTGGTCGTGTCGCAGGCAGTTACCTTGTGCCCAGGATCCTACAGATATAATTAGCCTCAGAATAAATAAGTATATTTATTAAAAGTCGAATTCGTTGTTCAAGGGAAAACAGTGCAAATTTCTGAGACAGGCAAATTTTATGCTCAACTAACTTTAGCCTTGCTCAAAGCCAAATTTGGTGTAAATTTGGTTTTATTTTGCCATCTAGCGCATTCGTTGGTTATTATAGAGTGGGTTTCAAGTTTTTCTTCATTTTACAGTGTCAATTTAGCTAATCTGTAATAAATATATAATATATAGATATATAATTGTAAAGCTTATCTGTATAATATCCTGCCGATTGACTGTTTAAGTCACTCTGCGTTGAATGCAGTCCAGAGACAGAAGCCATTACTAGGGTGTCCATGACCAGAGATATCTTATCCAAGGCTATTTTATCGAAGACGGGTACGTATTCCCATCGCACTAAGGCAGCGATGGAAATCTACACTTAATTTTAATACAAACGTGATTAATTCTCCTCAAAAAAATATAGTTTATTTAACATATTATATTATTCTGTAGTCGAAGCCATTAACCTTAACCATTATATCCGTAAATTCAAGAATTAATTAATCAAAAAAAATAGAAATATTTTTTCATTCTCGTTAGTCACTCTACAACTACAAGTGACCGTGATTATATAAATATTTATATGTGTGAATATAATATTAATATCTTGAACCAAACCGTGTCCGTGTAGTGACGGATTAAGAATACGGAATGTCACTACCCCAATTCATCCCGTGGGTGTCGTAAGAGCCGACTAAGGGCGCAAAACAACGCAGGACACCAGCACTGCAAAAAGGAGGAAAACTTGATACAATCCCTATACCAACCCGTCTGGCCAGCGTGGTATAGTAGGCCAAAACCTTCTTTCTAAGGAGAGGCCTATGCCCAGCAGTGGACTATTAAAGGCTGTTGATGTGATGTGTGATGTGAACCAAACCATGAAATTATTAATTCAGAAAATGTATACAAGATTGTGCAAGGCCGCTTGCTACTCGGAGGTCGTAGTTTATTGGGTATAGTTGTGTCCACAACACAAGAAATTTAATAATTTATACACATAAATATTCTTAGTATGATTGTTAACGGCTTAGTATTTACTGTAACGAGTCATGTATTTTGCGACAGTAAATGTTTTTCTTATTTATGTTGTTAAAATGTAAAACCACATTAAATATAATAGTTACAGCAGTCACATACCTGTCATGTGTTACATGACACTACCTAGGTACCATCCCACGGTCAACTCTGGCACGTATGCATTGATTAAATCAAATGGCGCGCGTTTCCTTGACCTGCTGTTACATACTGCCGGCCATTTTCATGCAATCACTCTCACAGATTGCAGAAAGGCGAAAAGAAAGATTCGCTTGCCTTCGATAATGTCCCATGACCTCCGGATAGGGCTGAGAGCGTCCACAGCCAGTCTTTCTCGGTCGGTTACCCTCGCTTGCGGAACACTCGCTATTAATGATATTGATGAGTTCCTACATGATAAAATTGATAATTGATCTACTGCTCCACTGGTATTGCTTATTAATTTAATTACTTAGGAATCTGAAAAGTATTGTAGTAAATAATAAAATAATTTGATAATTTTTAATAATTGTATAATGAACTAGCTGACCCGCGCAATTTCGTCTGCGTCTCTCAATAGTAATAAATTTTCTCCGTTTTTGAAACATTCTTCATTGGTGCTCCGCTCCTATTGGTCTTAGCGTGATGATATATAGCCTATAGCCTTCCTCGATAAATAGGCTATCTAACACTGAAAGAATTTTTCAAATCGGACCAGTAGTTCCTGAGATTAGCGCGTTCA